GTATATATCTGTATGTATGTATCTGTATATCTGTATAACAACATCTATCAGCACTGCATACTTTCGGATCGACGATTCGAAAAAGTAACCAAGTCCAAAAGTATATGTACTGCGCATGACTAGACTACACAGGCAAAGCTCCCCGGATTGTTATTTATTTACATCTACTAGGCCAAAGAATAAGCTAGGCCTACGTGTTTGCAAAACTGGATAACCTGGAAAAAAAATTAAGTGTATGGCTCGCATGACTCGCACATTGGCTCGCATGACTCGCTGGCTCGCACTTTGGCACTACTCATTCGGAAAGCTCGGGGAGAACTCTCACCTGCACAACTATGGATACTACTCGTCGGCGGTTTTGTCATCTACGAGTTTGATGCGAGCACCCTAAAACGAGTACGAGTAAGTACGGGCGCACCAAGTTGGCTCGTACCTAACTCGTATCTAATTCGGTACAAACTTGTTACCTTCGTAATAATCTCGTAGTTAATTCGGTGCTCTGCTCGGCATAATTCGTACATAACTCGTAACCAACAATGAATGTGCTGTAAATTGTGGGAATTACAGGACTACTATAACACAATACGGGGCGACATAACATCATCATGGAGTGTATTTACCGGCATTAAATCGCATCAACTACTGAATAAACCAAGCGTGTTTTTGATGTAGGTCCTATTTTGTTTCTTTGAAATGTATGTACCATACTATCTCGAAAAAAAACCCCATGCTATCTTAAAAATAAGCCCATGGGCTTCTTTTCGAGATGCTTCTTTTCGAGGCTACCGTTCGCAAACTAAAGAGGTGGGGGTGGGGGGACTTCAATTCGAGATTATGCCCTTCGGAATTCTATTCGAGGTTTTACGGTATGCTAACAATTTATTGAAACGGTAGCTTACTACTACTATAACTAGAAATTGCAAGTGAAGTGCTGCGAAGTACAACTGCATATAAATGTTGTTCGAACAAAATTATTTATGCGAGTCAAGTGAAAATAATGAATAATAAAAATATAACAAATAATATGAGACACGACCCATTGTCTATACTAATAGAATTCTCATTGGGTAACAAAGTCGTAATTTTTCATTTTTGTCAAAAAGTGTCTATAGTGGTGAATTATGGTTTAGGTTTTTTTTAATAAAGTTTCAAAAATTTCTATGTATGTGGAAAATGTAGTTGATTACCAAAGGTTACAATTTTTATTTTGGCGAGTTGACTCGAAGAGTGTTGCCAAAGTGCGAACCAGCGTGTTATTAGATCACAAGTGCGAGACATCGCTAGTGTGAACCAGCGAGCCATGACGTCACGACAATAGATAGAGACGTTAACCAGTTGTGCGAGGTATCGGCTGAGATTTGTGGAGTACAATTCAAAAAACAACTATAGGTCTAATAATGAATTATTGTGATATTAAATAGACAATGTTAGCTATCAAAGAGCGACGTTGTTTTTCATTGGGACCTTCGTCCCTTTCAAGGCTAGGCCTAAACCATCCTAGCTAGTCTAGGCTTAGAGTGCTAGTGCAAACGTCGCCTAAAGTAATTGATTTTACCCGGCAGAACGAAAGAAGGAAACTCCGCTTTTTAGTCTTCTTAGGCACTTGTTTTTTGACAAACAATGACCTTTCAGAGGTCAAATTGCTGTCAAGAACAGTGTGACCACTGCTTGGGTATTTACCCAAGATCTTGGGTATTTTGACTTGGTCTTGGGTTCTTGGGTATTCCGTTGAAATCCTTGGGTATTTTATTTTTACTAAGAAAATTAAATATTTTTGACACAGAGGAAGAATTAAGAAGTAACAAAGTATATGTCAGTCCATTCAAGTAAGCAAAACTCAACGAAGTGCACATAACATTGTTAATTGACTGTTAATTGCTATAAACATGGGTTCAGAATTGTTTATTTGTGATTTGCGTTGCCACTGATCTTACTTAATTAATGCATTACATAATAAAACTTGATCACTGATCTACTGATAACACTGGCCGACTGAGAGCGTATTTTTCTATCTGTATTATCACCTCATGAATATTAATTTTAATAATTAACACAAACAATTACAATAAAAAATGGTTTATAAATTGAACTAAAAGGGAAACTACATGCGAAAAACACGTTTTTTTCAAATTTTAATGCATTTTCAGGAAGCTTGGGTAATTTTGGGCAATTTTTGCTGAATCTTGGGTAATTTCGACCCAGTCATTGGGTATATCAAAAATTGTGAGTGGTCACGCTGGTCAAGAATATGAATTGGCTGCTTCGCAGCAATAAACGCAATCAGCGCTTGACAGTTGTCGGCCGACGCGATCCTATCTATGACGAAACGCGACGACGCTCGCGCAAAAAGTCGTTAATATTCGTTTTAATGACGATCCGTTCAGACAGTCAACAAACGGCGTCGCCTCGTTGGACTTTGATCTGATTTTTTATTTATTAGGTACTCGAGATAACAATACAGGATTACCCATTAAGCTGACGATAGCCATGAGCTCATTTTCAATAGGGTCCTTATAAAACCAATACCACAACAAGACACACAAAGGTACAAAAGTAAAAGCAAAAAAAAAAGTTTAGAATACGTTATGAAAGATAAAATCTTCACAGGCAAGAATCAATTATTTAAAAGAGAAGCATACGTTAAAAACATGTTTAAAATTCATATGGGAAAACAATAGGTCTTTTTTCACGAATCGGTAGACATCTTCAAGTGATGACAAACATTGCGAATCAGCGGTGCGTAGCCAACAGAAATAAGATAAGCTTTTGGGCTGATTTTCTAACATCATGTTACAGTATTTAAAAAATCATAACTCCATAACGGGGCGTCGTATCCAAAAAATATTTCCAGCAAAATGTTCTTAAAAGACTAGTCTACACCACTATATGATTGAAAAAAAAATGTTTTTGACCTCTGAAATCAAGATGGAAAAAGAAAAGCCTATCTCAGTAGTGTATTAAAATAGGCCTATGCATTACAGTGCAGTTGACTTTCGTTTTGTTACTGTTCCAAGTAGCGATAATATACAGATTTCTCTTATTATAAAGTATAAGTTATGTTTTATAAAGAGGTATAGTATAGTAAATCATGTTTTTAACACAGGAAACTCTCATATGGTAACTAAAACAATGCTAGTTCAGAGTATTACTAGTACTTCAGCACTGTATTGCATACCTATTTTAATACACTACTGAGATAGGCTTTTCTTTTTCAATGTTGATTTCAGAGGTCAAACAAATTTCAATTTTTTTTTAATCATATAGTGGTGTAGACTAGTCTTATAAAAACATTTTGCTGGCAAATTTTTTTGGATACGACGCCCCGTTATAGAGTTATGATTTTTATATAACATGATGTCAAAAAATCAGCCCAAAAGCTTATTTTATTTCTGTTGGTTACGCACCGCTGATTCGCAATGTTTGTCATCACTTCATGATGTCTTCCGA